GGGACTGGTCGGATTGAAACTGCACAAAGACCAAATTTGAGTTAGACCTGAATGACAGAAAAGAAAATTACAAAAAGCAAGAACTACTCCGTACCCAGGTTCCCAAACCTAGTGGGGACGTCGAAGAAGGAACRACCTGACTCATCCTTTGYGAGYCATTCCCCAGAAGCGTAGAACCACTTCCTCACCCATCCCTTGATGGAGGTCGGCCCTTTAACTATACCGCCTGCACCTTTCCTTGCACACATATAGAACCGACCAGGCTTCTTAGCTATCCTTTTCGCTTCGAAGCACGCGAGGAGCTGGTCTACGTCCAACAGCTCGGCCTCCTCACTATCCCGAGCTCGTAGCCAAAAAAGGATGGCCAAAGCGAAAATGACACCCCACCCATTGGGGGCCACTTGAGCCGGAGCCAACCCAGTCCGGAAGAGAAATTCTTGGACAAAAGGGTGAAGAGGAAGTCTGAGGCCGTACTCAAACATTTTGAAGTAGAGAGTGACCCATCCCTCTGGAGGATTGTCAGCTCTCTCCCCCTCCTCYGGAAGCCTGAGGAGGATGTTCTCAGGGATAGCGAACCCCCTACGAAGGGATCCGAGGTAGTGCTCAGGTATCCTAGAGGGGTATTCCAAACCCTGACCTGAGGTGGAGGCATCACTATCCTCCCCGTCATCGAAGAATCTAAAGTTTTCTATCTCCTCGAGCTCGGACTCTAACCTACGAGCTAAATCCTCATCGGATCCTAAGTTGCTGCTAAAAGAGGACGACATGGCAACTATGTTCGAAAGAGAAAGTGAGGGAAGAGACCGACCTACCAAGGGTTCGAGCTGCCTTCAGATCGAACTTCAAGAATTCAGGGAACGTAAGGTATGACCTGAAGGATTGGGGGCAATTATAGCCCGTCGGAAAAATTTCCCCACCGTACACGTGTAATCAACGAGCGGCTAGGATCCTTCCTAAGATCCGAAGCGTCGGAATATTTGAATATTCCGACGATAAATCTACCGCAACGGTTATATTTTCCCACGAATAGGAAGTCGCCACGTGTTCAAAGCAAATCGAATGAACTTCTCTGCTAGGTTGAGATCGGACCAGACAGATAGGGGGCCGATGTTTGGGGAAGAGAATACCCTGGACACGTGGAGGACCCCTATTGGTGCTCCAAGATGACTCATGAGTCATGCCCAGCTCGGACCGCCGAGATCACCACCACTAGCGTCGACAAATGCTAAGTGTGAGGGCCGAGGTGAACCTGGCCGAGGTCCGACCTACTGGGAAGCTCGGTAGGGGCCGATGTGAGCTACTGTCAGCGGCGTGATTATCAGGTGTAACCGTCGGTCCCAAGATTACCGGGTGTAACCGACGGTCCCGAGATTACCGAGTGTAACCGTCGCGAGATTAGCGGGACTACCACCCATAAGTAGAGGACCTCACTCCACGATCAGGTATGATGATTTCTGACCTCGAACTAAACTGGGAATCCGACCTATACTGACTTGATCGTCGGAGTGCTCACCTTTTTGTGCAGGTCCGCCCAAGTATTCAGATCGATCCGGAGGCCGAATTCGAGTTGCAATCAGAAATACACTATTGTGCATATCTTTACATAAACAAACCTTTAACTTTTTCAAATCATAATCTCGTTCATCATAATTTTAGATCTTTTTTTTTTTTGTGACAAACTGACAAACTAATTAATAGTTTTTCTTTTTCTTTTTCTTTTTTAATACTGTGGTTTCCGTGAACAAAAAGGTCGTCCTTTTTTTTTCTGTCAATCCTTTTGAGGTGACTGGTAATTATTCTTGTTTTCATGTAAATTTGGAATCACAATCAAGCACTCAACTTTCACAATAATGAATGTTGCTTTTTTCTTTATCCATAGAGCTAGCAGCCAGATTTTATTCTACAATAATTTTAATAAATTTTTGATTGGGATGTACCTTTATAAAAATATTGGAAAATATAATATATTGTTTTTTATACACAAAAAAAAAACAAATGAAATATGAAATTTTTGTTCAATGTTTTTTAATTGTTCATAATATCTAAGGATAGTAATCAATCGTAATTACTTATCAAAATGTTGATGTAACGGTATATGTACATGTGTATATATATATATATATATGTGATATAGAAATTTGAAAATATTCATAACTAGTCGATATGCAAATTTATTATAACTTTTTGAAAATATTCATAACTAGTCGATATGCAAATTTATTATAACTTTTTAAGTTTAGCAAAAATATATATATATATATATATTTATCATGAGAAAAAAATAGTGGAATAATAAACTTATTTTATTTGCTTTCGTGGAAAAAGAATGCAAAGGGCCGTCCTCATAGAATTGTTACCATGAACAAATGAACTTTCAAGTTCAATTATTTTTTAAACTACTTATGGAATTTATTTGAAAAATGCACAACCACTCATGAAATTAGGATAAATATCTCTAATTAAGAAGTTTTGAGTTCAATCTCTTACCTTACATAATACACGTTATACTAAAATAAATAGATAAAAATAACACAAATATATATATATATATATATATATATATATATATATATATAATCTTTTTTTGTTTATATGAAGCACCATAAAACTTATTAATGAAACGTGTGGCCATGAATAAATATTTATGTCGTCATTTTCATAATCATAATGTTAACATCCAAAAGATACTACAAGACCCAAAGATGTAATAAAAACAAAAAGTTTGGTGTAATACAAAATTAAAAGCTAGCTCTTTTGAAAAGGATGGTTTAGTAAAATAAACCACTATGGAGTTGTGGAATATATTTTTTTTTGGTGTGAGTGATAATGATTGACCATACATATATGATATAATAATTAATAATTTGCAAAACATACCTAGCTTGCAATTATTTTACATAATCTTCTAGAAATTTTAGAATTTAACATGCTTGAAATATTCCAAGAAAAGTGATAAAAAAAAGGTGAAACAATTAGAAATTGAACATATTTTGTTATTTGGGTAATGAGCTATGAATCTACAATAATTCAATGAGATATGTAGTTTAGTTAATATTATAATTTTTTTATTATAACAACTTAACTATATTGTGAAAATATTATTAAGATTCCATATGATTTTTTTCTTTTATCATCGATAAACTTATAAAAAAGTAAATAAATTTAGGATCGGTTGTAAATTTTAAACCATAAAGATTAAACTATTACATTTTAAAATTCAGGAACTAAAATGGTAAACGTATTTTTCAAACTTCTTTCTCGGGAGAAATATGATGGAAGTTGTTTTGTTGAATTGTATCAATGCATAAGCATATATATATATATATATCTTCCCAGAGCCAGAAGGCGGAGGAGTTGGAGAAGAACAGATTTCTGAGTTCTTTCACTAATCACTAATCACAACTTACAATAAAACTAAACCATTCTACTAATTTTTCCACTCCCAACACAAACCGCAGCTGAAATCTCTGATTTGGCCACTTTCCCACTTCAGAATCGCTTCCCCTGTTGGCGATTTCCTCCCATTTCCACTCTATTTGGACTTTTCTTCCTCCGTCTGAACCCCTACGACCAGAAACTCTACCTCCCTTTTTTCCTTAGCTTTTGGGTCACTATTTCAATGGAAGCTCGTTACTAGAAAAGCTTTTGGGTCCCTTTTTTGTGGGTCTGCAGCAGCCTTTCCGCTACCCTCTTTCTGCTGCCAGTGCTTGATCACTTTCTGGTTTCTTCCATCTGGGCTGCTTTTATTTTTCTTTTTTTTGGGGTGTGTGATTACACTTTGGGTTAGTTTTGAGCCTTTGGAATCTGAGTGGAACTGGGGTTAGAGGAGAAAAATGCTTGGAGTGGATGTAAGAACAGGGCACAGACGCTCCAAAAGGTAGGTTTCAATGTGTTTTTTTTTTTTGGTTAATTACGAAAGATTCATTCGTTATTCATATGAACTTCTGAGATTTTGGTCTGTGTTCTTTATTGGGTGCTGAAATTTGGAAGTGTTATTGGGTTCTTGCAAATTCTGTTGTTTGAGTTCAGATCCCCAGAGAGGCTCTGGGGATGGTTAGGAGGGTAGGAGGATTTGGTCCTGTTTTTCTTCTTAAATTGGCTGTTTCTTTTAGTAGAATCTGTTCTTGTTGTTTTTAACTTTTATCTACTTTGAGATAAATAAGAGGGCTCAGTTTCTGATGGTTGGTTTGGAATTGGATGATGAAGTTTTAGAATGATGTCTTAATATTTGAATGATGATGATGATAAACACTTTGTCCTTGACTTCTCCTACTCATGTTGTAGAATTCTTTTGTCTTTGCTCTACGCATATGCCAGCTCGCTAGACAAGAAAGCGGTTCAAGATGATCGATTACATAATTCGCTCGAATCATTGAATGGTGTAGAGATGGTAAGACAAATCTTGTTTCAGCTGATTTGAACAATTTTGTCTGTGAAATGAAAATTCACAAGTTTTTCTTTCGATGATGTTTTCGTTAAACACCAGGATATGGACCGGGTGAAAGAAGTCGAGAATACGAAAAACCTGTCACTGAAGGTGGAAGTACATAATTCTTTGAAGCAAGAGGTATGGAACTAATTTCAAGTCCTTAGGCATGTAATTTGAAGAATTACTACCATGAGCCAATATGAATTACCATGGCAACTTTTTTCTTGTTTATTTCATCATTTCAATGCGTCGATGTCAATATAGATTATTCAACTCGAGAAGCGATTGCAAGACCAGTTCAAGCTCCGCTCTGCATTAGAAAAAGCATTGGGTCATGGGATCTTTCCCTGTAGTAAATCAGATAAAGTCTCAATGCCAAAGGTGAAAAAAACCCTCCAAGTCTGATTATTTCCTGTAATAAGTACTTGCTTGTTTTCTCTCTACATGTATCATTTTTCTTAATTTTGTAAATTCAATCCTCTTTCTTTAACTGCAGTCAGCCATTGAGTTAATCAATGAGATTGCAACGTTAGAACTAGAAGTCGTGCATTTAGAACAATACCTTCTTTCTTTGTACCGAAGAGCATTCGATGGACAATCATCCTCTGTGTCCCCTTCTGCTAATGACGAAAAATCAAAACTTCCTTCAACCCCTAGAGGCAGCTCAATGGAAGGTCCCCTACCTGATATTGCCTCAAAAGATGAACACTCAGCAGCTCCTTCAGGTTGTCAGTCACTTGAAAATGCAAGGAAGAATTGCAGCAACATAGGAAGAGATGAAAAACTTGTGGTTTCGAATTTTCATCGTTCTGAATCGTCGCTGACGACAGTAAATGCAGCTTCATCGAATAAACTGTCTACTTCGGTGGAGTCGTTGGATAGAACTCTGTGGGCATGTCATTCCCAACCGGTGTCCATGATGGAGGTAACTTTTAGCACTTGAAGCGCTTTTGAAGCAATCTTTGAAGCATTTTCTTAGTAATGAATTGCTTGTTGTTTTTCCACAGTATGCGCAAAATGTTTCCTCCAATATAATCAGCCTAGCCGAGCATCTTGGAACTCGCATTTCCGATCATGTACCCGAGACTCCTAACCGTCTTTCTGAAGACATGATCAAGTGCATATCATCTATATTTTGCAAACTTGCAGAACCATCTTTGACAAATCATGGACTTTCATCTCCCACGTCGTCTTTGTCATCGGTTAGTGCATTTTCTCCCGGAGAACAGTGTGCAATGTGTAGTCCGGGGCTCAGAAACAATTCGTCCTTTGATGTACGATTGGACAATCCTTTTCTTGTGGAAGGTCTTAAAGATTTTAGTGGACCATATAGTACAATGATTGAGATTTCCTGGATTTGTGGAGACCCTCAGAAACTTTGCAATGTCAAGAGTTTGCTTGAAAACTTCAGGTCAGCAGCTTATGTAATATTCAGACATCACAAGGCGTTTTTTGTGTTATCTTACAGTTTTGTTAATGTCTCTTGGGCTATGGTTCACAGGTTGCTTATCTCTCGACTAGAGGAAGTCGATTTGACGAAACTAAAGTATGAGGAAAAGTTGGCTTTCTGGATAAATATCCACAATTCTCTTGTGATGCATGTAAACATGTCAACCTTGTGCATCTATTAGGTTCATCCTTTCCCAACTTTTCCCCAAGAATTCGATTGTAATCGGTTTCTTTGGTTCTTGAAACAGACATATTTGGCTTATGGGGTACCCCAAAACAATGTCAAAAGAGCCTTTTTACTCTTGAAGGTAACTTCTCTGGGCCTTTTCTTTTGCTAGGAGAGCCTAAAATCACTATGATCATTATAGTTGTTTCTCACTTTGTGTATGTTTTTCCAGTCTGCATATAATATTGGAGGCCATACAATTAGTGTAGACACAATACAGAGTTGTATTCTTGGATGTCGGATGCCTCGTCCTCGGCAGGTATCAAATGCTCGATTTTCCCTTTTGTCTAAGCTCATTCTCATCATAATGTGATATCATCTCGATACCATGAGTTTCACTTTCACATGTAGTGGCTTCGACTGTTGCTTCCATCAAGGACGAAATTCAAGACCGGAGATGAACGACGAGCTTATATAATCAACCGTCCAGAACCCCTTTTACATTTCGCACTTTGCTCTGGAAGCCACTCCGATCCTGCGGTATTTTTCAGATTTCACTGATGCATTTCTCCTGTTTCTTTATTGCAGTAGCGATAACAGTGTGTCGTTAAATCAAATGACTTCTGAGGTTTTCCATTGTTATAGTTGTGTACTGCAGTCTTGTACCATATGCTATGCTGTTTCCATAACCATAATCTTTCGATATCGTTTCGTTTCAGGTTCGTGTTTATACAGCTAAGAGAGTGTTTCAAGAGCTAGAATCTGCAAAAGACGAGTACATTCGTGCCACCTTCGGTGTACTAAAGGATAAAAAGATGATCCTTCTTCCGAAGAAGATCGAGTCATTCGCAAAGGACTCTGGTTTGTGTTCATCTGGGCTGATGGAGATGATTCTCAACAGCTTGCCAGAATCTCTGAGAAAGAGTGTCAAACGGTCGCAGCAGCTCGGGAATCCCCGGAAGAATGTCGAATGGATTCCTCCAAGTTACACATTCAGGTATCTGATTTCCAAGGAGCTGCTGACCTGATTAGCTTGCATTTTTGGATGAACTCAGATGCTAATTTTTTTGTGCATTGGATTTGATTTCTCTTTTGTACATAGAGGAACTGAGAATACAGAAACTGGACCACATGTATGCTCTGAAATGTCCATAGTCTCTTCCTTTCAATTGAATGAAATTTGTGTTTTAATACAAATGTGATTCATATGGTAACACTGACTTGAAACATTTTGTCTATACGAAGTCGAGTAATTAAAATAGACATTTTAAAAGTTTGATACCGAAAAATGGAATAAAATTTGGAAGTTTGGAGACTAGAAAAACACTTGTAAGTCATACCAAAAGAAAATAATCTTAAACTAATTGTTAATTATGGAGTGATTAAGAGAGAAGATATTTAATTGGGTATTACTAAAATAGTATTAATATTAATATGTGAAAATACACAGTACTGAGAGTGTGCAGTAGCAGCACTCATGTGATCAATTATTTATTGTAACGACAAAGGATCAAGATCCTATGTAGAAGGATATATTATAAACTGTACATAATAATGTATTATATATTATAAAGTGTATACAAATATCTTATAAAGATCTTCCTCTGCTGGAAGATAGCTGAAGTGGGCTTTCCATTTGTTGTTTTTTTTCCCTTTCTTCTTTTTTTTTTTAAAAAATAATTCTACAAATTTCAATTTTTACTTTTTTTTATGCCTAAATTATTCACTAGGATATGCCCAATGACTCACCCAAATCTAGGCATTATCTGCCTCGCATCTAGACCTAACTATTGAATACGGAAATATTTGAATAATTATGTTTGTTTCCGAACATTTACACTTCCAAATTTAAAAGTCTTTAAATTATATATTGGTTTAAAAAAATGTCTTATAAATATTCATGTTTATGTCTAATAATTTAATATATTTCTTTTATCAATTTATTTTATCTTTATTTTAAATGTTATTGTGTAGAACACATTTATTTGTATTGATTTTAGATTTTTATAAAATATTTAATATCAACTATTAATTTCAGTTTTCACTTGAACATCACGTGAAGTTAAAAAAAAAAAAACACGAACATCAATTGAACGTTTTTTCAAAAGAAAATTATATAATTAATGAATTTTTGCATTATAAAATTGAAAAAAAAATTTGAGAGAAATGATATCGATTTCGTACATTTTTTACATATAATTAATATCAATTTTAAGATGTACCAACAAAATAAATGAATATAGTATATAATTTAATTGAAGTTTATTTTATATGTAAATCTAAATTGTATAGAGTCAAAACTTGATGAAAAAATATATAGAAACAAAAAAAAAAATCAAGGAAAATATTGTAGGAATCTCAAAAGTCCATGTCTCAAGAGGGTATAAAAATTTTCTTGAATGCTTTGGATACTCGAGCATCTTGAAATCATATTCGGATCATATCTTACATTTCTATAAAACAAATGTAAATGTTCGTCTAATGAGAATCTTGAATTCCACAAAATGACACTTTAGATAGAAAGGTTTTTTTTCATCAATAATAGATCCACGAACTTCTATTGGGTCTATAATAGATTCATGAACTTTCAATTTGACATGTAATAATCTTGGACCCATTTGATATTTTTTTAGACAGAAAATTAAATTTTCTTTAAAAAAGATAGATCGGAGACTATTAAATACGACATACAAAAATTAAAAGTTCGAGAATTTATTAGACACATCTAAATTTCAAAGTTCGGAATTTTACTCAATATAAAATTCAAAACATAAAACTTTAGACATTTTCTAGATTTGAATGACTCATTAGCATTAAGGCCGCGTTGATTCTCTTTGATGATGTTTACCAAATTGTAGGAACGTAATCAAATGGTGAGACCCACCTCAAGCTTTGTAATCTCATTACATCAAAAGTGATTACACTCCTACAACCCTATCAATCTCATTCACATTCCTTATTCCATGGATCCCACATATATATTATAATCTCATCTACGGATTAGATTCATATAATTTTTAATTAGTTTTCTTTTATACTTTTATAATTTCTTCTCTTTTTATACTCTAATTTTTATTAGTTGATGTGATTTTATTATATAATATGATAAATTAATATCAATTAATATCAATAAATTTTTTAAATAGATATTATTACTTTTAAATATTAGAATAATAAAACTTAATAATATGTTATATTAAAGTTTGGTTGTTCTAATAAAAAATATTTTATTAATATGTAATTTTATTTTAATTATTCATTATGTATTAATATTAGAAAAATTGTAAAAATAAAAAATATTTACTATCAATAATATATTAATAAATTAAATTAAAATTTATTATTATTGTAATTTAAAAAAGATTAGCACAATAATATAGTTGTAATTAGCTATAAAAGAGAAAGAGGTATATTAGTAATTGTTATATATCTGATTTCGATTCCGATTCCAAACAGTTTTAGTAAACAACATCAAAGGAATTCTAATTACGATTCCAAAAAATTTCTAGTAAACAACGTCAATAGAATAACATTACGATTCCGATTGATTTTCATTAGGATTGATTTCTATTACGATGGTAAATAGGTAAATGTGGCCTAAATACAAACCTAAAAATTATGGGATTCTGCTGTTATTTGACCCAATTGTCTCCTAGTTCTCCATCTCCTCTCAAAGAAGCTAGAAAAGTAGCATAATATTTGCTATTTGCACCCACTTTAATTATAAAATTATTTTATTATTATTATTA